GATAAGTTTCCAGTGTTCATAATGGTTGATGAACTTGTATGAAGTATCTGTGCATGTACTTACACAAAGTTTATGCAGTAACTATACATACTAACTAGATAGGCATAAATATGCAACATCACATTTTCTGTAGTTGTAAGAAGGTAAGATGGCTGTACTGAAAGCCACATTTGTGTCAAAATGGAAAATTATGGAAATAGCTGTCACAAATTAAATGTGCAAATTAAAAGTAGGGACTTGGGGCTATTTTATGCAGTTTTGGATACATGAACTATGCTAATGAGTGAAGTTTTCTGAATGTGCAGTACAACTCCTAATACTTACTTGAAGTAATTTACCAGTATAATTTTAAAGTTTCACTAGCATTGTTCAAAGGGTAAAGCATTTATTTACACATGCCTTTACTGTTCCCAGTACTGATGTATGTGGTACACACGTGTGTCACAATGGCAGCAAGTGATTGCTGGGAAATACAATGCTACCTGCAAAGTAATCTAAATTTTGGTCAACTAATAAAGAAACAGCGTTGATATCTTTAATTAAAGGAGACCTAGATGGAGGCTGGTAATTGCAAAATCAGCTCATCTTTCTGGTTGGGTTCACTTTGTATTTTAAAAAAATGATACTTGTTAAAGGAGATGAGGACCTAGAGGTTTCTCAATGTCCTTATACCAACAGTGATGGAATTCAATATATGCTGACAAGTGCAAGTTCTATTTCACTTAATTTAGATTCTTGAAGTGATTGTGTGATTCATCTGGTTTAGGGAACTCACATTTTAGACATGAGTCATTAAAGACAGTGTGTTAGTGTGAGTTGTTAAAATTCATTGCTTGTGAGACCTTGTTGGAGCATAAGAAGTAAATGGTTTCCATTACCTAAGAAAACTCTTCACGGTATTTACTTACAGTTTGTTTTGTCTTGGTTTGTTCATGCCTCTCATTCCGTATACTACCTAGTGATAAATTGATTTAGTAATTTGTCTGTCATACGTTGTAGTTAAAAATCTACTTTTATAGTTACAGTTCTGCACCTGTCATTGGGGAGAGCAATGGTCTGACTACACTTAGGTTCACTAATAATACTGGGTTTTAATCAAATATAATCCCAAACTCCTGGGTTTTGCTTTTAATGATTGGAAAAATAGTATTAAAAAAAATTAAGTGACCCATTCTTCTGGTACTAAGCTATTAGAGGCTTTTATTCAGTTGAATGACTGACTAATGTAAATAAAGCATTATTCACTTTTTATTGTTATTTTATGAGCACTCTATTAGCTTCATTATGCTTTCAACTTCAGTATAAAATATCATCCAAGTTCTTTAATAAATAAATAGTACAGCTACAAAGAAACTTTATAAAACTCTGAAACAGAATTCTGGAAGAGGCTGTAAAATATCTGGTCTTAGAGATACTCAAGAGGAAACCAAGCAACCTGCTAATTCCAAAGTCAGATCCAGCTTCAAAGTTGGTCCTACTTTGAGGAGACAAGGAAGGTAGTGGAGCAGACCTTCAGAACTCCTTTCCAATCAGTTCTGCAAATCTCCTACTTCTTAAATATATCACTGAGTATTTTCTTTGGGGATTTATTTTTGGTTTGGTTTGGTTGGCTTGTCACACCAAAGTGTATTGAGGGGTGGAAACTAATTTCTTGATTTTTTTTAAAAACTACAATTCTTATAATAAAATATATTAGTAAAAGTTAGAGTATTATGATTTTTTGCAAGTCAGTGTGAAAGTGCTGATTTATTTTTTTCTGAATCTGAGGTTAAAAATGACAAAGTGAAATATCTTCAAGTGTCCTGCACTCATGTGTACAGACCAAATACAGTAAGTAATAATAAGAATAAATAATAATACCCACTGAGGTATTTATGCAGGCGTTTAGGCATTTATTTTCAAACTGCCTACTGAATCAATCACTCCTGTTAACAACTTGCATACTGAAACTCGATTGCTGGGCAAGTTATGACACTCCTATTATTTAATAATGGAGTAGAGTGAAAGAGTACATACAAACTGTGCATCTTGTTTTCAAAACCTGAGAAGTTTTTAGGTTGTATTAAGCTGCTTTTACTGGAGGTACTGAGTAGCCTTTATCCTGTATCTCAGCAGTAGCAGGAGAAACACCTTCAAACGTAAGGGTGTAGTAAATCTAAAGAAGTGACTAGTAATTTACTTGCAATTTAGTTGTTCATATATGTAGAGCTACTAGCATACAGGAGATGTTAAAAAAGCAAAATACACATATGAACTTAAAATTATTATCAAATATATTAACCTTTGTTTTATAAAATATGTTTATATATGTAGTAAGTTTTGGGATAAAATCTGCTCTTTTGTATTCAGTTTTCTTCCAGCTACATACTGTTTGCAGCACAAAATGTATATCAAGATTCAAGACCTCTGAGATGATACATGTATCTCAAGATATGTTTTTAAACTAAGACTTTGTCTATTTAATAATAGCAATGTTATAAAAATGTTAGGTATTGAAATAAAAGCAGAGATTGGGGATTTTAGAGGCTTGTTGGAATTACATCTGTCTGATGCAGAAAAGTTCACAAAACTTGCCTCGTAATCTGATGCTGACGTTCACTGGATGCATTTTTCTCTGGGTGCTCTGATGCATGTGCTATACTGTTGGGTTGTTCTTCAAACTACATAGTAAGTAAAGCAAAAATGACATGACATAAAATTATGAAGAAAAACCCCAAGAACAAACAAATGAAAAAAACCCCACAAACTTCTGTGGATAGTACCATCATGATTCAGCATCTGAATGAACTTCACTCACGCAAAACCTTGTAGTAGCCTAATGAAAAGTACTTGCATTATTATCCATTGCTACATTATAACAGAAGACTACAAAAGAAATTGTATTACACTGTGTATTTCTGTCCTCAGTTCTTAAATTAAATTAAGGGGTAAGGAATCTCAGAATCAGAAAACAAAACAATGGAGGAATGAGAAGGGGAGGATTATACCACTGCTGAAACAGGGTATGTATAAAACTCTCATAGCAAAGGTTGAGTTCCCAACATATGTTTAAACAAGTTGTAAATGTCATATTAGTGTTCTGTTAGTATGAATAAAATCTTGCTATCACTTAGATACTCACAATGCAGCTCTGCCACTAGATGTCATGATGTGTATTTGGTGTGTAAATTGTCTACAATATGCAAGCTTACTACCAAAATTCACCTGGGCTCTGTGCTTTTAGAGTATTCCTCTACAATGCTCGGGAACATCTTTTTTTTTTTCCCCAGTACTGATCCGCCTCTTGGTAACAAGTAATAATTAAAAAAAGAATTGTCATATAATAGCAGATACTGCAGGCACTATGAGCTCTAGATTCATTCTGATCCTGACTTATCTGTTTTTTAAAATTCCATTTGCTATGACTAATGTTATAACTCTCATACCTATCATTAAAACTTAGTTGTGTACCAGAAAGATATAGATCTTTGCCCCCTCAAAATATCTAGTTTTGTTTCTGAGCCTGAGGAATTTTGTTACTGCAGTCCTGCAAATCAGGTAGGAAGATGATTGCTTTGAGTTCTGATGCTTCTACCTGGCTTTTGCATATATTTAAAACTTCTTAGTTTGTTTTACTTGAGCCAATCAAGAAAACAGATTTTTACAAATACGTTAGATTGTGGATTAAACTCGGAAATCTTTTATTAATGAATAAACTTTTGATTACTTTGAGATAAAGCTTTGTTATCTTTTTCATGCTAAAGATGGTCAGAAATTAATTTCTTTTATTTCTCCCCCTTATTCTTCTATTAATTTCTAATTTAAACGAGGAAACACTTTAGACTTTAATCTCAATTTTACAGAAGCATTTTGTTTTTGTTACTGCCTTTTAAAATTTTTTTCTGTCTAGTTCTGCCTTCTGTAAGGGATGTGCAAACCTGAAACATGGCAACAAGATAAATATGGTGGCAAAACCAAAGACGGTTGGTTTTGGTTGGAAAGGCACAGAAACAACAGCTTACCCTAGGCCTTTATGTAGCTGAGTCCTGGCACTGTTTAAGGAGGAGAGGGTTTGTGCCCACCTGCTGAAGGAGGAGGTTTCAGCGATGGACCGTGGAACCTCCATAGCTGAATCTCCACAGCTGCACTCCCTGGACCTCGTTCCTTCAGCCTTCCTCCAGGCAGCGCCCAGCATCAGTTATCTGCCCTAATTATAGACAGAAGAAAATTTTAACATAAATCATGTTTATGAGTTTTTATCTTTCCCTGAAAACAGCTCTCTCGGAGGGGAAAAGTGAGAGGGGAAGAACGTTGGAGAGTTAGTGGTCCAAGCTAGAGTGAGGTGAGTAAAACCGGATAGGGAAAATAAAATCAAGCCTCTTCCCAGTGTGCTGTGGTGGCTGCCCCCTTGTCCCTGTATTTCTGTCAGCCCTTATTTTCTTTTTCCTCGCCTGAAGTCTCGCTGCCCGCAGCCCGCTCTCTCCGGGCGCGCCAGGAGCGGTGCAGACAGCGTCGCTCAGGAGTGGCCGAGAGGGGGCAGAGCACACGCGCCAGGCCCATCTCAACCCCACTCACGGACCGGCGCAGACCCCGCGCCGCTGCTCTCCGCGCCCCCCGGGTAGAGACTTCCTCCTCCGCGGTGCCTCCTCCTCGCCGTGTGGCGAGGCCCAGGCCCGGCCCCGGCCCCGGCCCCGGCCCGGCGGGGAAAGGTGAGCGCGGGGTGCCGGGGCCCGCCGGGGCTGGGGGCGGGCGGAGGGCGCAGGGCCCCTCGCCGCCGCTGGGGGCGCTGCGCGCCGCCGGGCTGGGGCCGGGGCCGGGCCGCGGACGGGGCCATTCGCGCGGCGGGCGCGGGGGGAGCGCGGCGCCGGGAGCGCTCGGGGAGCGCCCGGGGGCGGCGGGCGCGGCGGGGGCGGCGGCAGGGGGGGGCGGAGGGGAGCTGCAGGGGGCGACGCCCGGCGCGGGGGCGGCGGGGCGGGGCGGCGGCACCGGCGGGAGAGCGGGGGGGGGCGCAGTGGTTGGGGCCGGCGGCGGCCGCCGCGGCGGCGGGGTCAGTTCTCTTTAGTGTTTGCCGATGTTGGAGGCGTCTCCAAAGTGTCCCCGGGAAGCAGGTAACCGGGAGGGAGGGAAGGGGGCGGCTTCAGCCGAGATGTCCTAGTCTCCGTCCTGGCTTCGCGCTCCTCCCGCCGGCGCGGCGGCTCCCGGGCGAGGGCTCTGCCGGCGTCCCCCGCCTCCCCGGGGCCGTGCGGGCGCTGCTGCGCCACGGCGCCGCCGGCCCGCTCCGCTCCGGCGGGGGGCGGCGGCGCCGACCCTGCCATCCGCCCCGGGCCCCCCGTCCGCCGCCAGCCGCCCGCCGACGAGGGGCGTAGGAGGCGGGCGGGGGCACAGGTGGGCAGCGCTGCCGCCCCCGGGGGCCGCGGGGAAGCCCGCTGTGGATCCCCTCCGCAGCTCCCCGCGGCTCCCCGCACACGGGTCCGGCTGCCGGCGGCGGTCTCTGCGCCAAGGCCGGGCCGCGGCCGGGCCGTGCGGCGGGGCCGAGCTCGGCGGGGACCGCGCCCGGCCTGCTCTGCCCCAGTCCCCGGGAAGGAGTTCTGTGCGACCCGAACTTGCTCCTCGTCCTCTGTCCCGCCCGGCCCTGCCGCGGTGCGCGGCCTCGGGGGCGCACAGGGGCCGCTCCGGCACCGGCGGGGCGAGGGGCGCCCGGCACTGCTCGCCCGGTCAGCGGCGCGGACCTCACAGCTCAGCCGCCTGTGTTTGTACGTGTTAGTCAGCCCTCTCTGTGCCCGTCTTGAGCTGCCCCCGAACTTCGGGCAGGGCCTCAAACTTTGCCATCAGTGTTGGGCTCTCCCACTCCCAAAATGGATGTCGGCATCTCCTCCAGCGATGGGCAGCGGAGCCGTTTACCGGCCTTCGCCCAGCACGAGGGCTTGGGGGCCGTCGTTGAGGCGGGACCCAGAGAATCACTGCTGTAAAGTTGCCTAGTCCAGGCTTCTCATGGCCTGGGTGGCATCTTCCTAGCGTTCAGGTGTCTGGTGGGAAGAAGTTCGTCTTGATTGCAGCCAGGCCTGGAAGTCACAGCCATTCCTTGCTGGGGAAGTGTGGGCTGCTTGGGCTTAGCTGTGAGGGTGAATCCTGCAGCAAAGCTGTTTGCCTTGTAGTGCTCAGGGTCCCACCTGACAAGTCAGTGATACCCAAGCAAAAAATGTCCCTGCAGTGTATCTGGCTGGTGTTGCCTTACGCCAGCAAGCTGTTCCTGTGAATACTAAGACGTAAACTTCTCAAGCCATGTTTGGAATGCTCCCTGTGCAACTACCATGGTACTAAAAAAGAGTTTGTGCTGTACAAGAGTAGATAAAGTGCTGCTGCTGTTGTTATTGCCCTCTCTTTGCATGCAATACTGTCTTGAACAGTAGTGAGGGATGTGTATGAGTAACTGCAGTGTTGCAAGGCACAAGGAAGGCTGTTTGCTCTGCCATAGCTCAGGGTGGTTGAACTGTGCTTCTGTCAGGGAGCATATGTTGCTGTATCACCAGTGGCATCGAGCTGCATAGGAGTAAGGTCTTCCTTGGTTGTGTGGTAATTCCAGGTTAGCAGTCTACACCAGTGAAGTAATACTAATGCATATAAGCCATTTGCCAAGTATAAGGAGGTTTTGTATAGGCTTTGTTGTGACATTGCTGCTTATATAAACAGTGCCAGGCTGACAGATTTCTGAATGAAATCTCTTTTTTCTAGAAAGTCAGCAGCAGTGTAAGATTTCCAGTACTGATTTCCAGCTGCTGAACCTTAGCTTTGACCTAGAAAAACTCAGAGAGAGACATAGAGATTTCTGGTCCTGCCAGTCTTTGCAATGATTCCTATGGCTGCCAGCTAGGGACAGGATTGAGGCTGCCTGCTTGTTTGTAGTTTTTGAGGGGAAGGGACAGCTCAGATTTTGTTTTCTTTGCAGACAACTTTTCAGCCATGTTGTTCAGCTTGGGTTCTGCTCAGGTTGTTCAGCCTGGAGCCAAAGTCTTTATGTATCTTTTTGCCAGCTCAACCTACCTTGTTCCCCAAGAATTACATAAAAATAATAATAAAGTTGACTAATCTTAGATTCTGATTTAAGATAGTAGATTGTAAAAAAATGTTTTAATTTTACTTGCAGAAGAGCCTGATCAGAGGTGTTTTAATGACTGGACCAAGTATAAATAAGCATTTAACACCATCAGCCTATTCTTTGGGGGCAAAGGTTTGATATTCCTCCACAGCTTTTTGAACTCTAACGCTGGTTTACATGGGTGTGGATGTGGGAAGTGAACAGGATACTACGTGTTTTAATTGTAAAGTGTTGTGACAAATGACCTTGGGAAGGTTAGGCAACAAGCCATAGTGAAGCAGATCCTCCGATTCCAAGACTGGGTCTCTAGCCATTAGGAAAGATGCACCTGTCATGCTCTATCTAGACAGTTTGTTTTGACCTACCCAAAATACATAGCTATTGATTTGTTAGTCTTTGAAAACACTTAAAAACTCCCATCAATTATATCCAGTCCTTCACCCCAAAATACATCTTCTTATGGTATTATTCCATTGGAGAGCTGGCCTTATAAAGGAAGAGTTTTAGTGGGGTTTGGTGCCATTTTTTTGGCATATATTTGTTAGATATGGGCACAGATTTTTTCTGATCGGAGTGCAAAGTATCTATTTCCTCATGCAGGTGTGGTGGGGAAGGACCTAAGACTGCATTTTTTCAGGATAACTGAAACAACATAACTTCTGTTAATGAGCCACCAGAGCTCCACTTTTCCTTCCACTGCTTACATTTATTTTCTGTCACCAACAGCAAAATCTAACAAATAGGAAAAGAGGTCTTTCTTTTGCCAGAACCTATTATTTTGCATTTCTAATCTTTGGATCACACATAGCCTGTATTTTTCACAATAGTTCTTGAGTTCTCTCTTCTCTGAAAAGGAGAAAGAAAGACATGGGGGTTCCATTTGGTTGAGGGGCATAAAGAGCACAAGGCAGGGGTCCTGTGGAGGCAGGTCAGGGAATTGGGCTGGCAGTTTTGCTCAGGAAGGAAAGGACAGTAAACGAGAGGGAATGGAACTGGTGGGAGTGTATGACAAACTCTGTGAAGAGAGAAAGTTGAACCTGTGTGTAGTGTAGTTAACACATATATAATTAATATATATATTAAAAGTCAAGGGCCCTGCATTTAGAGGGTCTGCTCATTGTCAGCACTGAGTCACAATTGCCATTATCCAGAGTGTATTTGCATTAAAAGATCAAGAGTTCAGTAAGAACTCATCTGAGGGATGTCTTCTCAGGCATTGTTCTGGAAAATATTTAGAATAAAAAAATTGCTTGTCACAACTCCTAATGTAGAAATTAATTTTGAAAAAACATCTCTGGTAGTGTAACACTAAAGTCACATCTATGTCTGTAAATGCTAAAGTTTGTTCATACTTCATCTCAAGAGTAAGTGTTTAGTGGTTTGGGTTTAGTTTTGTGGGTGTTTTTTGTTAAACTGGTAGTTTTTGGAGTGTTTCCCCATAATGAAGTGTGCCATACTCTATCTTTGCATTTGCTTTAGTCAACTATACATCTATATAGTGCATCACAAGAATGTTACAAATTTATCTCTATTTAACCAAATAAAGTCAAATTATGAAATTTAATTTTTTTCTGGTAAATAGCACTGTTTTTCATATTTAATTACTAATATTGTGACTCCACCGTGCTTCTGTATCCCCATAATCTTCTAATTCAGTCACCATTAAAATGATGGGAGGGGGCACTTTTTAGGAACTGAGGCTTTGAGCTCAGATCCCCGTTGGTGTTTGGGGGAGGTTCCTGTTTATAACCAGCGGCTAATTGTTATATCAAACATGGATTAACCTCCTGTCCTTAGATTCTGGGAGAAGCTAGCTTACTAAAGTTTTTACCATAGTAGCACATGCTCACTTGATGGGTATATTTACAGTCTTATCTTCTGAAAACTTCCAAAGAATCACAGTGGTCCAACTTCCAGTTTTGCTGCCTGCCAGCTTTGAGGAGGCTGTTTTGCCTCCAGGCTAAAGGAAGTGTTTTTGAGTGTAGAACACCAGATTTTCTTGAAAACAATGAAAATGGTCACATGTTGGATCAAGAGATGAATAACCTACTTTTTATTGCTTTTGCTAGTCTTAGTTTCTTATTTTTTGCACCTGTTAGGTATTTGGGGTTCCCAGTTTCTCCTACAACGATCCCAGTTTAAAAAAAGCATTGTTACATGGATATAAGGAAATATCAGTATACTAAATGTGCAGATTGATATCAGTAGCTGGAATTGTCTGGATAAGTAACTGTCTGCAAGTGAAAGAGAACTTTTTTCCATGTTACCCAGATGCCACATCCATGCAACTGATACATTTTGAAGGATGAAATCAAGATAAAGTTGTTCCCAAGGTGGAAATGTAGGTGTGGTAGAGGGCAATGTTGGGTCACTTAGAAGCACACCCAGTTGTTCTGATACAAACAAAATAATAATGAAATAATGCTTGGTAGTAGCTTTGGCTTTGTTAGACAAGGTAAGAACAAGAAACAATCTAAAATTTCATGTTAACTGTTTGTTTCTTTGCCTTTTTTCCCCTTCTGCTGATCCTTCTTTAGTCCTGGATATGATGTTGCTTTTTTCGTTCCAGACCATGGAAAATATTTTCTCTGCTTTTTGTTTCAGGCTGGTGTCTCTGATAGTATTTGAGCCTGCCTGCTTTGAGTAGTGTTTCATCTCTAATGACAGTGTCCATTCAAGGGGGTATTTTGGTTAGGAGTATATACCCAAGAGACATTCCTTTTGTACCTGTTTAGGGCCTAGGAATTGTAATGAATGGCTCCAGAGGGATTTTCTTGAAAACCCTTCTGACCCTCTGAGAATTCAGTGCAAGACACTTACTAGTCTTGTATTAAATGAGTGTCCAGCTTCTGCATGGCAGCTAAGGCTGCCTTATCTTTGTGTAAGGGAATGAGAAGTTTGTCCTGGATCAGGAGTCAGTTAAAGCTCTCCCTCTTTTTGCAGAGGCATCTCTTAACATTCCCTCTTAGCTGAATCTACTGGGTTAGGTATGGGGCTTGACCTCTTCAGAAG